CAGCCATCTGAATTTTGGAGAAATTCTGAGCCACATCTGATGAATAAGAAAGAAAAGGGATATGGAATTGTATATCACATTTGGTCAAAAAACATGGTACAGAATAAAGTAGTAAGATACATTTTCTTTTATGATTTATGCATGGATCTGATGGAACTTCCACAAATATTCAAGAAAAGGTTTAGGAACAGCACATCATAAAAATAAGAGCAGTCGTACAGCATCTGCTTTCGAGGCTAATGCCCATTCCAGTGAGTAGTTTGCTCCTTCAGAAACAATCAGAATTATCTTAGTTACACAATATATTCATGATCTATCCATATGCAGAACTAGCTTCTACATGTAAAATATGCCTTCTTATCCAGTTGTGATGGCTGATGTGTCAATGTGGTAGGATATAGCCCCCAGTTACTCCAGCAAACACTATGTGAAGGGAGTTTTGCAAAAGTAAAATCCCTATCAGTTATCTTTAAGGGAGGGGGTGCATTCTAGGTCTGGCTTAATTAGTTGGAGGTCTTTGAAAGAAGGGTTAATGTTTTCCTGAGAGGTAAGAAATTCCACCTGACAACTGCTATATCATGCCTATGGGAGTTCCCACTTGCCCTGCCGACTTTGGACTTGGTGAACACCTTTAATTTCATAAATCAACCCCTTGTAAGAAATCCCTTACTGCATACACACACACACACACACACACACACACACACACACACACACACACAGAATCTATGTATGTACATATCTTATACTGGCTCTGCTTCTCTGGTTCAATTCTCATACACAAATGTATTTTGTTGATGAGAGTTGGCAAGTTATTTTCAGAGTGGGATGTACTACAAATGAATTAGCTGCATAAGCATCATTACTATAAACTGTATTTAAAAGTAAACTGTGTGCTTTACTTTCCTGAGGTACACTATACACTACAACATAGCTCTACTCTCACAACTGCAGAAGTCATGGATCCTAATCTTAATTCCATATAGCTTTAACACAGGGGTTCCTAATCTAGGGCCTATGATACCCTGAAATTGTGTGTAAAATTTTTCTGAGGGAAGCCCATAACTTTCACCAGATCCCTAAGGATATTCATTTCTATTCAAATTATTAAGAATCACTGTAGCTTATTTTATTTATTTATTTGGTTTAGTTGTTATTTATTTATTTGTTTGTTTTGTTTGTACACTGTACAGTTCACCAGAACCAGAGTGACTGCTGATTGCGCGCCATGTGGGACCCTATTCACCCATCTGCTTGCGTTGTTCCAAAATTACTGACGTTTCATGAATTTTTCCTTTATGAGTTTAGAGGGAACAGACTACCTGTAATTAGTATGAGAAATTCTGTTTATTTACTTGATTAATAAAGGCCCATAAATTCAAGGTGAGACAATCCAACTAAGAACTCTACACATTAAGTATTATAGATGAGAAAATCAATGATGCGGAAAATACAACTTAAGTCATCTTTACTTCAAAGTGAGGTTTTAACAAAATTAAACAATGTTCAAGTAGAGTATCAAAATGATTATATTACTAGCTATTACTAAATTGTTATGAGAAATTTGTATTTTACACATAAAAAGGAGTAAGAACCACCATGCAAATCACATTAAACACCCATAGTAGGTCTCTTAACAAGTTAAATTACTACTCATAACAAATAAAAAAAATTTTGTTACCTTATTCAACTTCGTAGCAGTGTCGCATATAGTAACACATAAAGCTACCTCCTGTTTTCTTTCCTTATTTGCTATGTCTTTTTAATCTACTCCCAGTATCCTACCTAAATTCTAAGTTTTGGATTTCCCCCAGAAAAGCCTTGGGCCTTTTCTCACTAGCTAATGTAATCCATTCCAGTGGTTTTAAATGCTAACATATTCTTTCCTGCAACTTTTATTTCCAGGCCAAACTTTTTTTTTAAAGATTTATTTATTTTTGTATACAAGAGCTGGGGTACAGGCCAGAGGCGCAGGGGGTGAGAGGATTCACCAGAGACAGAGTGGGGAACAGAATAGGCAACAGGAGAGGTCTGCTGCACCATGTGGGTTGCTCCCTGGCCAGCTGGGGGATCGAACACATGCTGCAGAGGCTGCGGACTCCACAGTGCTGTGCTTAACCCCGTGCACCACCAGGGAGGCCCCCCAAACTTTTTTTGTACCCCCATTCAACTGTCTCATGACCTCTTCATTTGGGTAAGTCACTGAAATCTCAAATTCTTTAGGCCCAAAACCAAAATAATGATTTCCACCCCTAAGTGGTTCTGTTTCCCAATCTTAGCAAATTGGCATAGCTCAAATCAGAAACCTCAGGTATTCTTTTTTGTTCTTCATGCCATACTTCTGTCAGTGCTCTGCCCCAATTGCATACCCATCTTTCCACCACTTCATCTCAATGCTACCCCTGTAGGGGAAGCCACCATTATCACTACGCATAGTTCTAATGGATATGCTTTCCACATGGAAACCAGAATAACATTTCAAACCCTTAGATTGTTGCCCCTTTGCTTAATTAACACCCCCCCCCACCACCACCACACACATACACAATGGCTTCCCACTTGAAAAAAAAACTGCAAAGTTTTACCATGGACTAAGGCCCTGCTGGCATGAAAAGGCCCTGCCCACTTCTCCCCTCACTCACAGTGGTTTTTGGATTGCTGCAACTCTATACAAGGCCTTTCCCACTTGAGAATGGTCTGATGTGCATGCTCCTGTGGGGATACTTGACCCTCTTCACATGGCTGATTTCTTTTCACCCTCAGGTTTCAGCTGAAATGCCGTCTCCCCAGACATTCCTTCTTTTAGCAAATGTCTGTATCACACTCCATTGTTCTTTACTGTATTCTGCTCACCAAATTCCTCTATCTTTATTTACTTGTTTACCATTGTATACTATATTGATAGGTCTGTGAAGACAGGAAGATTCAGGAGACTCACACAGCACCTAACATTGTTCTGGAGCTAGTAAGTATCTCTGAGCAAATGAGTCACTGGGGCAGTACTCTGTTCTTATTGTTCCACCTGGATTCATTTTTAGTGTTTACAAATATCCTTTCATTTTGTTTTTCCTTCATTTAAAAAAGAGACACTTGAATGAATTCATTCACACCAGGTGATTAATACCAAATTCATTGTCTAACTTCACAACATGGAACTTTTAGCTATTTATTAAATTAGTTTTTGTTACTAAACCTTTTATTCCTATCCCTCAAGTCTCTTCTAAATGTGTATTCAGAATATACCTACACTATATGTGAATGGCAAGTTTACCATTATTTTCTTAGCACACTCACCGAAACTGTTTCCTATGAGCCAAGACAACATGTGAATAAAACAAAAATGTTGAGTTAAATAGGAATTGTATTTAAAAATGTCTAAAATTGGCTAGTTACCTTTTAAGATCAAGCAGGTTATATAAACATGAATCTAAATTCATCTTTCAAAGACAGTTATTTCTTTATTTAATTTTGCTGTATTTAATATCTCTTTATTTAATTCCTTTACATACAAATGCGAGATGAATTTGGACTTACTTTCATTTTAAAAAATAATTTATTTCAAAAACTAAATTAAAATAATTTCTCATGTTTAAACTTATTTATAAAAATACTTGGCTAAAAGCAATTAATGCAATTTTAAAAAGTGGAACTGCTGGGTCAAAAAAAATTTAGGTAAAAACCATTAGGAAAAAAATCTTAAACTAGCAGGTACTTTTGCGGTCCTTATTCTATTACAGTTTTGGAAAAGTCTAAATTCCTATGGGTAGTAGTTTTGTCTTTTAAAAGAGGACAGAAGGAAAGAAGGGAGAGTAGAGGAGAGAAAAGAAAAAGAAAATGGGTAGAATGATCTCTGAAGTCTTTCCACTCAAAAGTTTCTTCGTTCTGTTAAAAGGAACTTGCCTTCAGTATATACAGAGGTCTGCAGGATGATACTAGCAAGCAAGTTGGTGGTTTATCCTATATGATAAACTAAACCAAAAGTTTTACATGGATTATCTCACTTAACAGATGCATGAACTTAAGATTATTATTTTCCCATTGTATAGCTGAGAAAACAAACGTAAGCCAAAAAACTCAGTTACTTAAGGTTTTAGTTTGTTTACCAAAAAAAGAAATAACTGACAGGATGGGGAAAAAATTTATGGATGCAGAAAATGCAAATCAAGATGAAACTTTTTAAAACAGTCAAGTCCACTGTACTGGAGGCCTGTGCTATGTGCCACACCTGCAGGACAAAGTAAACATATTCATCCCAACTTGTCAAGATCAATAGCTAGCGTGTCGTCAGAAGGTAGGATTTCAGGACACTAAGGAATCACCTATATATTCACCTTCTAATTCAAGCACAAATCTGAACTGCATCAAAGAAAGAACAGATAATGCCAACAAAACAAAATGATAATTCAAAACTGAAATTTAAAATAACAAAATTATTTTTGAGGGAACTGCACTTCAAGCAATTGGCCTCAGAAATGGTATTAGATATACCAAACACAAGATCACAACTTGATGGTTATTTTGTATTTAAAATGTGCATGTGATTTTTGATTTGCATTTCCCTAATTACAAGTGATGTTGAACTTTTTTTCATATGCCTGTTGGCCATTTGCATTTCCTCTTCAGAGAAGTTTCTTTTTAGTTCTTCTGCCCATTATTTGACTGGATTATTTTCTTTGTTTTTGTTGAGTCTCATCCATCTTACACCAGTGAGAATGGCACATATTAAAAAAACTAGCAACAACAAATGTTGGCGAGGATGTGGAGAAAAAGGAACTCTCCTGCACTGCTGGTGGGAGTGCAAACTGGTCCAACCACTATGGAGAGCTGTGTGGAGATTTCTGGACCTACTAAACATAGAGCTTCCATATGATCCAGCAATTCCACTCCTAGGTATTTACCCAAAGGACACAGAAACATTAATTCCAAAGGGCACTTGCACCCCTATGTTTATAGCAGCACTATTTACAATAGCTAAGCTTTGGAAACAACCCAAATGCCCAAAAATAGATGACTGGATCAAGAAGATGTGGTACATATACACCATGGAATATTACTCAGCAATCAAAGAAGATAAACACATGCAATTTGCAGCAACATGGATGGAGCTGGAAGGGATCGTGCTCAATGAAATAAGCCAGAAAGAAAAAGAAAAATACCGGGTGGTCTCACTCATAGCAGGAATCTAGAAAACTTAAATAAGGGACCAGGAAAAAGAATAACTATAAGAAAGAAAATATCAAAATCAACAAACAACTATGAACCAGAGACCCTCTATGGGGGGTGGGGGGCGGGGAGGGGAGGGATTGGGGTCAAAATAAGGGGGTTGCAATTGTATGGGGAATATAAAAATAAATTTTAAATAAAAAATAAATAAAATGTGCATGTGAAATAGCTGTAACTGAGAAACCACATAAAAATCTATAGTTTGAGATAGCCAAAGAAATGATCTTAGCATTAAAAGTAATCTGTTTAACTGTACAGCAAGGGGAAACTGCCCCTCAGCTCTCTCTCTCTCTCTCCTATGTGTTCTCTTATGTTGAGAAATATATCACTAACAGTAAGACATCCTTTGATACCACATTAGAGGAATACCCTGGGAAAATGTAATGTCCGCTTCCTTCGAACTGCTCTGGATATAAAACAACACAAACAACTAGGAGCGTATCTTGGCAAATCATCAGGGCTGAGTCAATTAGAATTCATTGATCTCACCATCAATTCGGGCACCAAAGATTCATTATTAAAATGGAGCCTAAACAGTGATTCTACATCCCAAAAATTCCAGTATTTTTTAAAAGGCCCAATTATAATTAAATCTGTGACTGTTTTACTAATATACACTAAAATGGTGAAATATACTGCAATTTTCATGGTCACTTTATCATTTAAAAGTCTCAACTGATAAGAAAATTATATGAAAATCTTCTTTGAAAAATAATTTCTATGGTAATATATGGTTTGATTTTTTAAGAGGAAAAATAATAATTTAGAAAGACTCCCTTTTTGTGTAACATATAAATTTGCCCATCTACTGACAGGTATAAAAATATTAGCACAAGAAACATAGATAAAGCTAAACAGACTGAACTAAAAGAGCAAAGTTATTTCATAGAAAGTATTTTATCATCAAAACAATAAGGTTTCCTATGTTTAAGATCTATTTATTATGTATCTTTACAAGTAGCAAAGCCCCTTCACTTTTTCCCAGCTTAATATACACAAATATAAAAGCTTATTGATTTTCGCAATGCCACCCCCCACCAACCCCCACTGGACTGGGTTAATAGGAAACCGTGAACTATGTATGACCAGCTTCGGGAAGCAGCGATGGTTTTCTTTTTCACTTGTTCTTGAACGTTAGCATGCCAATCAGTCATCCTCTTGCTGATTTCTTTTCTGTCAAAGGAAACCAAGACTACATTAAAACAGCACATTCTAACTAGGATATCTGTTTAACCAAGACTACTTTTCTGTCAACAAATATGATTTTCTAGAGGCCTTGGCATCTTTTTAACATTGTAGTTGGAAACTATTATGGAAAAACAGGCTTTAACTATTCATTAACAGAGTACCACCTGGCTCCTGGGTACATGTCCCTCAGGTATTTGAAAATTTTCTTCTCTTTCTTCCACATGTAAAAACACTCCCACCCAGAAACACACAAACATACAAATATTCATGTTCCTCCTTGAGTAGCCACAGCAGACAGCGGATCTTCTCTTAGTACAGTAACAGTATCCATATTTTCACCAAAATTAAGAGTATTATGAAATTCTTTCAAAAGTATACATATCATTAAATTTGTGATATTCTAATCAATAAATTATTGTCAGCTCTCATTACATATTTTATTCTAAAAAGACCTAATTTAATAATTCTTTCATTCATAATCAAATAAAAGTCCTACTAGGATATGACTAAAATGAAATAATAAAAAGCCAATGAGAGGGCCGGCACTCAAAGCAGACATGGACTTTACCAGTTTCAGAAAATCTATGAGTTTATGAGCATCCTCCCCGGTAGAGAGATCCACAAAGTCCTTGGGCAGCCGGTAACTCAGATAGGGGCTGGGCTGGACTGTAGCTTCGCTGTTGGTGCAACGGAAAGCTGGAGAATCCTTTACAAAGGAAAAAGGAACATCCATGAGAAATTTTCTTTCTTTTTAAGTCTATTCTACAACTCAAAAAGGCACTACCATAACAATACTCCGTGTTCTCTTCTACGCTAGGTAAGGAGGGAAATAAAATTCCAGGAAAAAAAAAAAGGAACCAAGATTTGAAAAACATTTCTACACCTTCATTAGAAAATTAAAGTAAAGTTATCTGAAAAAGGTATCCACAGGGAGAGGCAGGTGACCCCTAAGTGTCAACAGTTCAGCCACTGTATGCTGTGGATGGGTTATGGATCTCAATAGTCCCTGAAGGGTCAGAGGCCTCGGGCTAGTTATTCCTGGCCTCCTGCAATCTCATCCAGACCAACATGCTTTATAAATACTATCGTGTTCTACAGATGCACAATCAGGAAGCCCTGCCTTATAGAAAAGTGAATTACAGAGGCATAGGACACTTTGCAGAATATACTCTGCATTTCTCATAGGTCATTTAACTTTCTTATTTATCTCTTTCACCTCCTTTGTAAAAGTGCATTTTCAAGTATCATATATAACAAGTCCTCATTCTTTAATGTACTTGCTTACAGTTGCACATCATATTTACATGTTGCCCTGTGCTAAAGAGAAGTCAAGAGTCAGAAGGCTTTTGGACTTCACAAGTGGCACACCTAGAGGTGAGGGAGGGATGGCATCAGCAGACCCAGGAACTGGAATGGAATAGGACAATGGAGCGAGAGAAAGCAGCCATATCTTATGACAAAGAGACCAATCATTTGACCAATATTAACAAAACATGTGCTTTGTGCCGAGCCTTATTCTAAGTGTGGGAGATAAACTGGTAGACAAGACTGGCAGGCAGCTCATAGGCAAGCAAACAAATAAATTAACAAGATAATTTCAAATAGTAAAAGTATTATTACAAAGACAACAACAGGGTACTACAGTAAGAGGAGAACAGCATGGGCTACTTTATTTCTTAAAGATTTATTTATTCATACAAGAAGTGGGGTACAGGTCAGATGTGCGGGAGGATGAGAGGATTCACCAGAGACAGAGCGAGGAACAGAACAGGCAGACTGATGAAATACACTGCCGAGGGGAGCAGCAGGCAAGACAGGAGAGGTCTGCCACGCCATGTGGGTTTCTCCTCAGCCGGCCGGGATTGAACCCGTGCTGCAGAGGTTGCGGACAGCTTCACAGAGTGGTGCTCAACTGTCTGTGCCACCAAGGAGGCCCAACATGGGCTACTTTAGAAGGGCAGTCAGGCAAGACCTTGCCAAGGAGAGGTCCTGTGACTGAAGACTATGATGAAAACAGCCTCGTGACAGCCTGGGGGCAGAACCAGCTTGAAGGCAGTGCAAAGAGCCAGCACAAAGATCCTAAGATGAGGCAGGCTCTGTGGCTTTGAGGACCAGAGGCAGGCCAGATCTCCATGAAGTGGAAATAGCATGGGAGACAGGCAAGGGGTGATCCTAAGGACAAGGCAGGAGTCGTTCCTCTTTGTTACTGTGAGGAAGGAAGAAGGAAGAAGGTGGAAAGAAGAGAGGAAGGGTCGAGGAGGGAAAGAAGAAAGAATTTGGATCATAAAGGGAAACTTGTTCAAGATTCCTATTCCTGTTCCTATTCAATTGCTGTATCTCTCATATTTAAAAATAACATGTGCGCTGTTGAAATAGAAAGCTGTACACCTGAAACTTAAAGAACAAACAAAACAAAAACAAAATCTTAGATTATGAGAACAAAATGTTTACCAGAGGGGAAGGTAAGGGGCAAATTAGGCAAAGGAGATCAATTGTGTAGCAATGGATGGTAACTAGACTTTTGGTGGGGGATCATGATAAAGAACAAACAGATGTGGAACTATAATGATGTACCCTGAAAACTACATGATGTTAAACATCAATGCTTTTTCAATTAAGGAAAAAAAAATTTAAATGTCTGGAAAACTGTTAAATGGTAAGGAGGGTTATTTCTAGGTGGTAGGTATGTTTTGCCTCTTTCTAATTTCCTGTACTTTTAAATGACCATGTTAATTTTTTTTTTTTGCTTAAAGGTATAAAAAATTCAATGGAACACTCAGGCTACACAATTGCAAATGTAGCACTGCCTACAAGGTTTATGTAAGGATGTGTGTTTTGCAACCATTCCAGGACGGGTAGGTTCACCGTCAGTTCTCACAGACAAAAAGATAATTTTGGAGCTTTCTGTAGAGTTTTACAGGCCTTTAATGCTGAATAGGGGACAGACCAGCTTTCTCTCTCAGCATTTCTCTGGCTATCTCCGCTCCCTGTCCTCCTGCCTAAGAGTGATGCCACTTGTCCTCCTGCCACAGGTGTCCCCATTTATAAACATGCTCTCTGGGCTCAGGTGTCCATAATTACAGGCGCACGTGCAAGATCACAGGTGCCAGTCATAGGTGCCAATGGCAAGAGAGCAGAAAAAAGTCTGATAACTTCATTTACCCTATAATGGGTCAGTATGTTATGTATCAAAATATGAACAGTGGCTATCGAGGTGGTAGGATTGAGTGATTTTAGAAATTTTCTCTACAAATGAATATATATTACTTTTAGAGGCAGAATAAAAGCAATATAAAGGTGGTGTTTAAGGAAAGTTTAGGTGTGAGGATAAGAGGAGAGAAATTGGGTGAAGATGGAGATGAGGAGGGTCTGATTTTCATATGGGAGATATCTGAACATGATTAAATACTGATACGGTTGGCAGACAGGAAGAGACTGGAGAGCAGGAAAGCAGATAAACGAAGCTGAGCAGGTGTAGAAAGACCGGAGCAAGCTGCAGCTAAGTCTTGGGTTTGATGACAATTAAATGGAGTGGACTGTTACCACAGGATTATCTTTTCATCTGAAGGAGGAAGTGAAATCATCTGCTGAAAGGAAGGGAAAGAGAAGGGAAAATATGCAGAGAGTGGAGATGCCGTGAAATAGCCTCTGTGGATGATGGAGGAGAAAGCTGAAATAAAAGGCTGCAGCGAGCGTCCCCTTACACCAAGGGTGGTGTTTGTGAGGAGACCCGAGCCTGTGTATTTGGGCAACTTTCTCTCTAGCAGTGTTAGCAGCTGGGGCTGACCTGGGGTAAAGATTTTTCCAGGTGGGTAGGACTGTAAGAGGCAAGAAAAAGAAAACTAACTAGAAAAAAAAAAATATCAAATGACCATTATTTCTTCAAGGTTAAATGAGTGAATCACCACTCATACCCTTTTCTGATCGTCCCATGGGCAAGTATGAAGATCTATGCCACTACATGCGGCCCAAGGCTACCCCCGCCACTGCCTATGCAGGTGCCTGTGGAACAAGCAAGCAATGATTCACTTGATTAACAGGTTTCCTTTATGTCTTTATTTTTTTAAGCATCTTACCTGCTCAAGAGCATCTCCTTCACTGAAATCACCTTTTAAGTTTCTTCCAGATATCAGCTCCTCCCAAGTAAACAGTAGTGAGTCTGTTACTTCACCAAATGGATTAAAGTCAATTAGCCACACCTTCCCCTGCAGTACACAGAAGAAAATGAGTTAGAATAAAAACAAGCACCTGAAGTCTACAATCTATCTTAATACAAAGATCTTCATATTATTTTACCCAAAAGATAATCCTAAAAAATCATTTAAATTATTTACAAAGACAGCTTTCCAGTCCTATCTAAGGCCCCATGTTTAATCAAGCAGCTCAATTCTTAAGAGACAGCCACCTGTGAGAGCAGACAGGGAAGAAGAAAGACCTGACAAAAACAGACATTCCAATTTCTCCCTCAGGTCACACAAGAGAGTTTAAAGTCAAAAATCCAAGCAAGAAAAAAGGCAAATTGCATAAAAAGGTTCACCCAAAGTAGCATGACTGTAAGGCTCTCAAGGGTGTCTCTGTAACCTTTCCCCAGGAAGCTAAGAAATGCTCTTGACCCCTGAGAGGTGGATGAATTTTTTAAAACATACATGTTTTTTTAAAAACATGAAAGCATGTTTTTTTAAATTTAATATGGTTGTTTGGTCTATATGCTAGATATAAGGGAAAAATGAAAAAAAAAATCAACCTTTAAAAGAAATTTTAATCTTTTAAGTTGGGAGGCAATCTGATAGGTTCTAGCCTCAGGGAAATAAAACTTCTGACTTGGTCAGACTGAGTTTAGAGTAAGGGGTATCTCAGCATAACATGGCAGAGTGCTGACATAACAGAGCTGGGGATCTGTGAAATCCTGCCAAGAAATTAAAATCAACATATTTGATCAGAGAAGTATGTGTGACATTTAGTGTTTCCTGAATACTTTTCTTTGCTTTTCTTGTTTCTTACTGAAACATTCATATAAATGTAGCATTTTGTTGCTGAGAATTAGTTTTTTCTAGAATGTGCAGTAACCACGTTGATTACTTGATCAGATGTACATGTGTAAAATTACATGTGCCTAGAAAACTAGATTGTGGAGCCAGCATTATTGACATCTAGCACTGTTTCTCATCTGGGTTAAAGTAAAAAAGAAAAAATTTAAATTTGAAGATGAAATGTTGTAATAGGATTTGCTTCAAACATCAAAAATCTCTAGTAAGTAACAAAAGACCCATGACAGGAATTTTGCCCTATGTGCCATTTGGATAAGTTTCATTTCTTACATAGGAGAAATTCTGCAACCCTTTCTTGCCACCTAAATTGCTTTCTCACATCAATACAGCACTCCTTCATTCTCCATGTGAAATAATGTCAGTCATCCATCAACCTCTTAGTAGTATGTCAGCTTTGCTTTGGAGGCAATTACTAAGGTGTCTTTGACATAATGGGTGTTATTCTAACAAAGTGACTATTTTCTGACCACAAAAACTTTTCTACCTGAGTTTATATAGCCGGTAAAACCATCTCATTGTTAAAGGAAAAAATAAAAAACTATCATACCTGTCATGCAGAAATAAGCTACATGAATTCAAAATGTACCATAGTACAAAAATAAACTAAAAATAAAAAACAAAAATGGATCATTACTATCAGGACTGATAGCTGGTAGCTAATTCTGTGGTTCAAAAGCCATCCTCTAGGGGCCTCCCCGGTGGCGCAGCGGTTGAGCGCTGGGTTGCGAAGCTGCCCGCGGCCTCTGCAGCGCCGGTTCGATCCCCGGCTGCTCCCCGGCCACCAGAGGAGGGTCCCACATGGCGCGCAGACCTCTCCTGCCGCCCGCTGCTCCCCTCAGCAGTGTACTTCTGTCCTTCTGCCTGCTCTGCTCCCTGCTCTGGCTCTGGTGAATTCTCTCACCCTCCCGTGCTTCTGACTGTACCCAGGGCATGTATAAACAAACAAAACAAATAAATAAAAATCATAAATAAATAAAAATACATGCCTCTAAAAAAAAAAATGTTAAAAAAAAAAAAAGCCATCCTCTAGCTCAAAGAAAAATAAAATCAGCTACAATCAGGCATAAAACTATCATGATGAGGATTTTATAGCTATAATGGGGTTTGCATGTGACATCTCAGGCATAATGCATCCTGATAAACTCTGGATTTTAGGCAATCCATCAGGTAAGAGCAGCCACGGTGACCTTCCTTATGCCTACCAACTGACCATTCTCCCCCAAATCTCGATGTACCAGACACTGTGGTAGGCACTGGGCATTCCTTCAAAGAGCAGGACACATATACACACATACACACCCTACAAAATAACAAAAACCATTTAATAATTGCAATACAGAGGGGTAAATGCTTCAAGAGAGGTAAAACCATAGTAACCCATATAGAAAACATACCTAAATCTTATGGTGAAGCTGGAAACGCTTTGCAAAGTAACTTGGAACTTGAAGATAATAAAGATAATCTGGAAGGAAGGTGGATAGTAGAAGGAAAAGTAGACCATTTCAAGGAAAACCACCAATAGCAATAAAAAATCCACCAATAGCAATAAAAACTAACAGGGCCAAGGCCACAAAGTGACAGCCCATTCTGGGAACAGGTTATTTTGGCTGAAATGTACAATAATATGAGCACCCCAGAAATATGGTGGGCTCAGGTAACTTCAAAAGCTTCCTGTTCTAAACAGGATGAAATTCAGGTAAAAACAAATCTCTTTAAATGTATAAATGAAATGCTAAGAAAGAAGGGAGAATACCAGGAGCCAGAATTAAAGAGAAACCTGAAAAACAGAAATAACCATATTGACTGATTTTGAGGAACACCAGGAGGTACTTCCTCCCAGGAACCTAAGGGTACGGGTTTCCGTGGGCACTCGGGAGTGGAAACTGGCCATGAGGGAGCCTTAAAGGGATGCCACCTTGGTGAAAGGTATATAAAAAAAAATCCCAAAGGCTGAAATAGAAGACAATGAAGCTTGCTTGCTTTGACTAGGTTTGGGGAACATGGAAAAAGCAAACAAAAATTCAAAATGTAGACTCTGAGATTCTCTGACACACACACAAAAGCTCACTAAAGATGACTCAGAATAAAGTAAAATACTGATTTACAAAACCAAAAGGAAATAATCAACATGAATGAGAATCTGCAAATACAACAATCAGGGATGAAAGCACCAGGAATTCAGGACAATCACCATCAATCTGAAAAACTTGATAAAATAAAAATACTGTTATTAGGACAACTGGGTAAAAATCTAGAATACAGCAGGCTATAAAATTGATATAAAAATCTCTTATTTCTATGCACAAAGATCTAATAGAAAAATAGGAAAGCAACCTCATTAACAAAAGCATCAAAAAGAATTAAATGTTGGAATAAACTTAACCAAAGAGGTGAAAGATCTGCACACTAAATATTATAAGACACTGGAATAGAAAAAGAAACGAAAACATTGTTACAATAACTATGTCACCTAAAGCAAAACACAGATTCTCCATCCAAATCCCAATGGCATTCTTCTAGGCTATAACCAAAAATCATGACATTTATTTGTATATGTGCCGCTGAAGCAAACCTATCATGACATTTATTTGAAGCTGCAAAGACCCCTGAGAAAAACACTCCTGAGAAAAAAGGACAAAAATAGAGATATCATCTTCCCCAACTTCATATTATCCCATAAAGCAATAATCAGAACAACATAGTACTGGAATAAAGCCAAATATACATATCAACAGAACCACACTGAGAGCCCAGAAATAAAACTACCACATATGGACAAATTATTCATGACAAAAGATCAAGGGTATACAATGGAGAAGAAAAGTCTCTTCAATAAAAGGTGCTGGGAAAACAGGACACTTGCATGTTAACCAATGAAACCAGACCCCTATCTAACACCATGCATAAAGAGTAATTCAAAATAGATGAAAAACTTGCACAGAAGACCTAAATCCATAAAGCACATAGAAGTCATGCTTTCTTTTTCAATCACACAGGTAAGAGTTGCAAAAAAAATGAACAAGGTGCAAAGTCAATCTCAACATCAGAGACTCAAGATCACAATTCTATCCATAAAATAATTAAATTAGTATCAATAACCATAACCAGAAAGAATGTATAAGGGGATTAGAGTAATTCTTCAAGTGTCTGAGGTATTTATTCTAAATTCTAGTTGTGCATTACCATACTTAAGGATTGCTTCTTAAAATACACATTCCAGGGCCTCACCTCAGACCTCCTACAGGGGGTGAGCCATGGCTTTGATGTCCGTGGTGGTGGAATCCATCCACTAAGCCCAATTACCCCGTCACAATTGAAAAAACAGACACACCCAAGTATAGCTAACCCCAAACACACACACTTCAATTTTTCATATGAGACCATTCTAACAGTTCATTTCCTACAATAGTCATAAGATTATACATTCAAAGTGCCTAACAAACTATGATACAAATGCCACTGAGTAAATGCAAATGCGTCTTTAAGCCATGGTTTAAATCTCTTCTCAGAAACTGTCTGAGTGTTTATCCTAGCGTGTTTCTCACTTTGAAAACATGCAACTACTTTCAGTTCTGAAGATCAGAGCAGTAATTGCTTACATTTGTGTCCAACTTCACTTAAGATATTCAAGCAAGTTATACATCTGCACCTCCCAGCCAGCCCTACTAAATCACAGCAGACCTGGACATTTGCCAGGCAAATATTGAGACCTTGGCAAATTCCTTATTTTCAAATGCCATTATAAAATATAATTGCTTCAGTTTTAATACCTAAAATGGGAACAAATAATACATATTTCATAGGGTTATATGGAGTAAGTGAGACACTTAATTAAATGAGAATAAAGCCTTCCTGAGCTGTACATTGAGGACAGTGCACTTGATTTAATTTACTGATTTGATTCTATCTGCTACCAGCCAAATTCCCTTAAAAGCAGATTATCTTATTGGAAACTTCTCGCTAAAAGCAAGGCCTTTGACACATTACAGTCTCTCACAGTGAGTTACATGAGGGATTTGACATGGTTTGTGTCTATCTAGTAGAAGCAGAGTCAGGACTACCGCCTTGGACTGTCACTATCAGGTTTCTATCCATTCCATCCTACAAGCTTCCTTTCTTTTTTCTAAGATTTGTTCCACTAAGAGGAAACTTCCAAATAACATTCCTCTTCTTAACCAAATCTTGAGTATAATTCCTCTTTCAAACTCTGAAACAGACACCATTACTTTAGAAGACAGTGGTAAAAATAGACTAGGGGGTGTTTTGTGGTGAAACAGTAACAAGTAAACAGTTAATAGTCATTTTGTGATATGACTATTTCCTTTTGTCCAAAATATAATTCAAAGCTGGCTGATAAGTGAATGGAGAGGGATGAGGACTGTGGACAACATTTGGAAAACATATGGGTCACCTATTTGAAGAACACACCTGTTATCTTCTTAACAGCTAAGAGCTCTAATCATGGGACAACATTTAGTAATCCAAATTTCTTTGAAATGTCTTGACAGTATGTCTTGACAGTGAAATCTCTGCTGTAGGATTTATTGTCAGGCTTTTGTTTTCTTTTGCATTAATCTACTTTAAGATTTAAAGAAAAAAATGTAAACTACTCAAATGTTCATTTCCAGCATGCTACGGATCTTTTAGTTGACTAAAAATAATTTGTGGCCACATTTAACTGTGCAAACTGAACTATTTTAAGTAGGATCAGACCCCTGACAAAAGGGGAAAGTTGACTGAAAGGTGCCCATTGGTCACTTGTAAAAGTAATAATTCATAAATTTGTGACACATGATCACTGTTATATTATATTGCCTGATGTTTAGTACATTTTAAGGGGAGATTACCAACCATTGTGAATTTCAAACACCTCATCAGGTTTGAGGAAATGTTTGGTGAGCTGTGGCCCCCTGACACACATAATGGCTCATATTCTAATTCCTTATATGGCCAGTTCTGACTTTTAAACATATGAAAGTTTCTACTTACCCTACTGTCTCTATATATATCAAACACAACTGTAAGGGAGAAAGAAACTCAAAGTTAACAATGAACTATTATCTTCATGATGTAAGCCTCCTTAGAGGCACTTTAATTATTTGCGTTAAAAAAATGTATTTCATTATTTGTGACTCAAACAGCAGAACATAACTAACTGACCTTGCAGACGTCATACTTCTGAAGTGTCAATTTCCAATGTAAAAAGACATCCTGCAGTATTTTATTTAAATAATTTTGTTTTCATTTTTCTTTACCCTCAATCATAATCCCTTATATTTAAAAATTCAAACCAAACACTGTCATCATCTTAAACTCATTATTATGAACAAGTATATATACTAGTGAAAGGAGCATAATCCACTTGCTTATTTGACAGGCAATGAAATGAGTAAATTTTATACTAGGAAAGCATAAAATCTAGCTATGCTTATGGCATGACTAACCTTTTTTAAATCAAATCTGTTAGAATACCTAGGTTGGGCAAGTTGAAAATTATAAATTACAGCAGATATAAATTTAAGATGCATGTAAACGCTCCCTTCTCCACAAAATACCCTCAATTCTTGAGAACAACTGAACAAATGTTTACGTTGTAAAGGTGCCATTTGATTATTCAAATAAGAAGCTAGAAAGGTAGATGAGTCAGTTAGAGAATTTAGTACTAATAATAGAAGCACTGTTTTCTGCAGAGAGAATCTTTGAAATATATAATAAAAATCTACATAACAGGAGAGATAACTACCTCAATGTTAAAATAAGGTAAATTAACACACAAACCATCATCAATACCAAATAGCTAATAATGTTTAAAATAGTATTTCAAATCCAGTTTTAAAATATGTTCCATGGTAAAAAAAAACATTTCATTTCAGTGGGTCAATAAAAAATACTCACAGTCCTCATCTAAGAATTTATACTGTATGTGCTTCTTGAAAAAGTCTTGTATGCATCTGCAAATTTCTTCCTTTTGCTTAGAAATATGATCATAGTATTGTGTGTAGTCTCTCTGAGAAATACCTGACAAGAAAACATTTTATATTGTTATTACATAATATTCTTTTCAAAAACACCAAAATGTAGTTTAAATCTTTTTTGAAAAAAACCATTAAACTTGGCAAGAAAACTAATCAGATGAGTGTTGCATTATATATTATTGGGCATTTTATAGAGGTATAAAACTTATCAGTTGTAAAGATTCTTATGGACAGTTGAATACTGAATTTCCAATTGCCACTGCCATTCGTCCTACTTTAGAAATAGTAGTTATTTTTACCTACTACAATGGAAAGAATTTGAAACCATAAAAATGCTTATTATATAAAAAGTAGAAGAAGCAATTTTAAACTGCACACGTAGTCAAGTACTTTTTCTTTTATTTTTCCAATGAACTCTCTACAAATTGGTGTTCTTCTCTTTGGGAAAACTCAAAATGTTCCTCACCATATGTCTCCCATATGCATACTTTATCTTGCAGAAGCAGTCCATTTTTCTTATTCAGATATGCCCCCCTGGCTTCACAAGCCATGGTAAACACATCTTTCTTCAGAGTGACTTGCCGATAATATTCCAAATACAAAAAGGAACTACTGTAAGAATTCCTTCAATTTGCTCTAATCCTAGGAAAAAGCTCTGAAATAAGAGCTTCCATCCAATTTCCTGATTACATGCCAATATGAATCCCTTCATTGGCTGTATATATAGAGAGAGTTTTTTCAGGACTACCTAACAATATGATAAATTTAACACCAAAGTTACTTTTAGGTAACAAATGTCAACACATTCAATAAATAAATAGTGTTGATTTGATTCTGTTCAAATCATACTTTTCTTGGCTGAATATGAATTTTACTTCATGGAAAACATGCAGACAAAAAAAGAACAAATAGTCTTTAATATGTGACTTGAATAAATAACAATAAACAAAATAATAATGTGAGAGAAAAAAATGGATGGCTTTTAAAGTAACGTACTTATTTCTCTACATATTTTCTCTTCCTAGAATAATAAACAGTGCTCCAATAATAGACACAAAGTTTTAAAAACTTGACTTTTTATTATACCTAAAATAAGCAGTGTATTGCTAGCAATACTTAGGAAAATCTTAGAAAAGCAGGTAGTATCATACATATCGTAAATTGAGAATGGTAAAGACCAACACTTCCATTTCTGGAATCCAGACAGACATGATTAATTAACAATACTATCTTCCTTGGAAGTGGATTGTGGTCTCAGGATTCTTGCCAATACAGCTTTCTAGAGTAGTACCCATTGGTGAGTGGCATCTATGACAAAAAACCTGATTGGTACCCCATTCTAATAATTACTAGAAATTTACTTCTATTAAAAGTTTGAAACTTTGAATCATTACTTCTAAGGGCAAGAAACAGACAAACAAAAAAAGCCTCACCAATAAGTTTATTTTCCTTGACAAAACATCTGAACTCAGCTCCAGGAATTAATTCACACCATTTTCGAAGAACAAGCTGCAGACAAAGAAGAAAAATGTAACACAACTATGTAACAAGAGAGCTACTAGTCTAAAAGATAATTTTATGGAAACTGATCTTAACAACTTCCATTACCAAATGTATTTTTTCTAAAGAGGCATTATAAATCATTCTTGACATTACATGGAGAAACTAAAAGAAGGGGGAGCTGTGTTAAAAGCCTTTATGATAAAATGCATCTCTGTCTTATCATTTTGAGAGTTCTGACATAATATACAACTACAAGGATGATGAAGTAAAATCTTATTACTACTGTGCCTTAAGATGTTCTGTGATTTATGCTCTTCACCCCTTTAAGAATATCAAGGAATAAAATAATTTCAAATTTGTTACCTCAAGCACCAATCTGAATTAAGCACCAAAACTTCACTCCAATGAAAGTATTATGGTTCATCACAAAAAATTTACTATAACCTTCTCTTGAGTTTTCCATATTTTAAAGTAAACCAATTTCACCAGTGGTTCAAGTTATAAATATGTCTTTTACTGTAATTATTTAATAGATACAAATTCCCATTTTCTATCCAACTTGAAATTTTATAAAAAGTATAGCTAACAAATGTATGTTTCTGATTTTGATTTTTAAAAGTTCTCAGGAGGAAATCAGTCCTGTCCTTTTAAAGCATTAGCTGTCATAAAAGGCTAGTGATTGCAGCCTCCCTTATGCTGGCTTAAGCTCTTTGTTCTTCAAGTCCTCTGAGACAGAAATTTAACTACTCCATACCACATTCCTGAAGCTCAGTATCTTTCCTTCCCATTTCCTGAGCTTCCACAGTTTCTTGCATATAGCACCGCAGTGTAAGCACATATATACCATGTTGTACTATGATTTGGTATAAGTCCCTCTCTCCTATTAAACAGTAACTTCTCCAGTGGTCAAGAACTGGGCTCTATTCATCTTTGTGTTCCCAGCACAAGTATGGAACATATAGCAGATGCTTAAGAAATAGCTGATAAGTGAAACATTTATATAAGTGAAACAAATATATGTAAGACAAATAGCCACTAAAAATCAGTTACAGAAAAATATTTCATGAACAGGGAAAATGCTCACATTATGCTTCAGATGAAAAAAAAGTTATGCAATGTGTTTTATGAAGTATGTATACACATACACACACATATATACACATACACATATACACACATATCTCAAGAGAGGGGATTTGGTTTCTTATATTTTAAAATCTTTGATAAATTGATCTTCTTTAAAAAAAAAAGAAACCTGTATTGTGAAAAAATGTTTTAGAAATTCATAGTGCACTGATTTCATTTTTCATGACAGTGCTTGGCAAGCTTTGTATTTGTCATATTTTCTAAACAGTGTAATTATTAAATGAAGAGCCCCAAACTAAAAAATTACACTATTCTTATAATATAAATTACACTATTCTTATAATGTATGCTGGCATATATATAATCCCTCTGGCCTCCTCCTCAGAGGTAACCAGTGCTGACCATTTCTTGTATATCTTCCTCAAAATTTCTAAGAACGTAGAAACTTATAGTATATGCATATGTCTCTTTAAATACACACAATAGAAGCATAAGATTCTCTTTGCAACATTTTTCATTTTAATTACACTCATACTATCACTTTCCTAGACTTTTAAAACTAGATTTCAAATCCTATGCAATAACATAATGGTGGCATATCCCTAAAAGATGAAACCTGGTTCAAATCTGGTGAAATGAATCTTAGAGGTAGATGATGACAATAAAGATTATGCCTCAGGGTAAGGCCAGAGAAGCATATCTTTTTCATCTTTGTGTTTCCAGTACAAAGTAGTAAGATGCAGCAGGTGCTTAATAGATGTTTGTTTAGTAAAACAACAGATATGAATATATACATACAAAAAATGTTACTAAAACATTTAATGACCTGGGAAAATGCTCATACTATGCTATTAAGTTTAAAAAACAACCTCATAAATGATATGTAAAGATCTCAATTATAGATCTGCCTTTTGTTTGCTAGAAAATTCCTTAACTGAACTTCCCCTTTCTTTCCACGACATCCTTATGTACGCTATTTAACTCTTAACTAAGCTATTTAAGATGGTGCCTAAAGCAACATGGGTGAATTAGTCTTGCTGGATGTTTGCCATGTGTACAGGAGGTAAACATTTTATTATGAAACTTCTTTTTGGCCTTTCTCTTAAAAAAATCTCAGTTACAAATGCTGAAAGATTTAGAGATTGTTTGGGTGGCCTAGCAAACAGTAAATTAACTGTTCCACACATGGCATAATCACAGAAGATATGCTAATACATACACTCAACACAAAATTACTTGATAAACTGAGCCACTGGGCAAATTTTGAAAGCATGGGTATATACAAGCATAACTAAAATAAATAATGACAACATTAAAAAAAAATCACTGGACAAATTCTAATTGGTGTTATAAATGCAAGAATGTAAGTATTTCACAATATGAAGCAAGGATAGTCACCCTTTAGTCAACAAATGATGAGCTGTCAGAGTTTTTAAAAATAATGTATTCTGACAGTGCAAGTGCAAGAAGAGCCAGTAGTAAAGATAAGCAAGAACTGATCAGAGATGTAACTAAAACCTGTCATCTTAAAAACAACAAAACAAAACAATTATGCTCCTCATTCATTTCTCACAAATAAAGAGCTAGGGATGATTGAGAGAGAGAGAGAGAGAGAGAGAGAGAGAGTGCATGTGTGTGTGTGTGTGTGTGTGTATGGCATATACTTTGAAACTAGGAAAGCAAGGAATAAAAATCTGAATTTACTCTCTTTGAATTCTTATTACTATTTCTGATAAGGTAGTTTTTCACTATCCTTTAATTCTTCTCTGTGTAATTTGTGGAATAAGTGAACAATACAAAAAAAATTAAAAGGTGTACTAGGTCTGAATGGTAAATTGGTGACAGCTGCCTTTCCTGATCTACCAGGATAAAAGTGTAACCAGGTTAATCTGTGTAGAGAGTATAAAGGTGTATGCTTTATTACAAAAGGTGTATACGCTGTAGTGTTTGCACACTATGTCTACATATATTCTATACACATAGAACATTTTTATGTGATATATTCCATAAATTGTAAAATTCAATGGCTCCAGATTTCCAGAGAAATTGATCCAAAAACTTTCATTCACTTCACTTAAGAATAAATACCAATTCTCAACACATCTTCATCTAGGACTATCACGTCATCATAATTTAAGAAAAGTTTCTTACCTCATATTCTATACAAGGATCTGGGGAGTCATCAGTACAATGAATAAATCTTTGAAGGAAAAAAAAGCAATTGAATCTTTTTTATAAGTATCAGTTTATGCATACATATTTTTTTATATTTAATGTGAGAGTAAGTTTTTACTGAAAGCATCCAGAAACAAGAGACTAATTCAAATTCAATGAGCACATATTAAGCACAACTTGACATCAGGTGCTAACTAGGGAACTTGAAATGTTGTTTTATTAGTTCTCAAAACTATCATATGTGCTAATGTAATCTCCATTTTCCTGGCCAAAAAACAAAGGAATTAAGACCCAAGAAAGACTGAATTTGGTAACCAAGGCTAACAGTGAACAAGTGACCAAATTGTCTATTTCAAACGGAATACAGGACTACACTGCTGTTTTAAATTCTCACTGCTTTTCCACTTCTCTGCTGACTTTAATACTACCAAATAAAGCCACGTAAAGTTAAATCTTACCTTTTCCCCACATGCCATTTAAAATAACATTTGCTAGAGTTATTCCTCCACTAAGTTCATGTTTATGAACAATTTTTTGTATTGCTTATTAAATGTCTACCTATGTCAAGGACTGGGCTAGGTACTTGGCATGCTGAAATGACAGAATCCCTTGTCCTTTAGGATGCTAGTCTAGAGGGGAAAGTCTAATAAGTAGACAAAGAATTTCAAAGACTGGAAACAAAATTACTGCGAGAGACAAAGGAAGGCTGATGAGAGCTACCTTTCTGTCCTTGTGTGTGGGGGCGGGGGGTCTTTTCACCTCAAGGGACTCTTTTCAGCAGGAAGAAATGGGTATTTATGAATTTTTTTTTAGGATTTATTTATTTATACAAGAGCTGGGGTACAGGTCAGAGGCGTGGGAGGGTGAGTAGATTCACCAGAGACAGAGCGGGGGAGCAGAACAAGCAGACAGACGGAAAGCACTGCTGAGGGGAGCAGCGGGTGAGACAGGAGAGATCTGCCGCGCCATGTGGGTATCTCCCTGGCTGGCTGGGAATCGAACCCGTACTGCAGAGGCTGCGGACAGCTTCACAGTGCGGTGCTCAACCTGCTGCACCAACGGGGAGGCTGGTATTTACGCGTTTAAGACAAAGGCAAGCATGTGCTAAGGGACGTTAAAAAGACCAATTATTTTATGAAATCTATTATAAAAATTCATGTATCCTTGAAACATTTTTCCTCAATTCCTTTTTAAATTGTAAATATAAAACAGGAAAAATGTGTCAAAAATTCATACAATATAATGAGGGCTAAAAAATGTGTAGCTAAAGAATTTTTCAAAGGAGAAAAATATTCACTGTACAAGGTACTTTAAAATGATGGAAAAAGATCAGAAAACAATATAAGCAACACTTCATTTTTTAAAAAAATACACAGGAAACCATAACATAATGATAAGTATTAACATGTTACCAATGGTTCTTTACCAGCAGACTGTTAATTCCTTCTGCTTATCTGTAGTATTTCTAATAATATGTTTTTTACATCAAATATATATTACTTTGATTTTGACTTTTAAATCAGAGGAATTAAAACACACATAAAAGTACAAAGTATACATGTATTGCTTTTATAAGAAGTTAATTCAAGTTTATTTTAAAAGTTAATATTTAAGCTTCCAACTAACCAATAATGTAATAAGCATTATGATATAACTGCCTATTTGAATTTAAATGTATCTTAAAAGATCCAAGATGGAAGTAGAGAAATGATAAATTTTAATTAAAAAATGAAATGGCATCATCTTAAGTTTTAGTTTAGTAGTAATGTAATTATTACCATTTTAATTTTTTAAATGTGATTTTAACAATGTATGTGGCATATTTTTGGTAAATCTGGTAACAGGATAGCTCTTGTTAACATATTATTATATACAGAATAGAGTGGATTAAGGGTCTGTATCTACCTATTTTTAATATGTTTTAGGAAAACCAAAAGGAACACATTATCTATTTTCTAAATGCTTCTATATTCCTACAAATATTGATTTCAATCCTTGGTTAGTCCTCATACTGTATATTTGAGTACTGTCATTTTCTAACATTTTTTAAAGTACTGGATGGTTTAACATTTAATGTTATTTTAAAAATTTGACAAGTTTCAGAAGGTAAAAGTGAGAACATATGTGGTATGTGAGATTATTGTACAAGAGATCATCTTATTAAGATGATGAACCAGATGGCCAAGTATCTGAGGAAGATGCTGAGGTATCTAGTTAAGACTGACTATAAAGGTCACCAACAAAGCTTTCAGGTGCTCAGGCAAGACACCTCAAAGAAGGTATGTGAATAGTTAGATTCCATCTGCAATGGGAGGAGTTAAGTTTGAAAAGCAAAAATGAGTAAGACAATGACTATTAACAATATTTACATTTTTATAAATCTTATTTTAATTAACTGTTCCAAAATTCCACATTAGGCCAAAAAAAAGGGGGGAGGGGAGTCCTTAACCAAGGCTACTTACTACATTGAGAATACAAGTAGAAACAATACTAGCAGAAAATATGCATATTCTATTAGAAACAATGAAATATCTTTAGTTATATCAAAATTGAAAACATTTGCTTTATTCTGGTTCTCACTGAACCAGATGACTCAAAAACTTTAATTTGAAATAGAGAAAAAAATTAAACTAATTCTCTCATTTCCAAAAATAACACTTTTGTAATTGCCAAAAAAAAGCAGTACCTCAGAGGAACAGTAAGTCACTGACCAAGGAAAGCAATTTACAGAGAAGGAATACCGAATTGTGGGCCTCCCTGGTGGCGCAAGACTTAAGACGCAACCTATGAAGCTGTCCACAGCCATTGCAGCACGAATTCAATTTCTGGCCAGCCAGGGAGCAACCCACATGGAGCAGCAGACCTCTCCTGACTCGCCCGCTGCTCCCCTTGGCAGTGTATTTGAGTTGATCTGCCTGTTCTGTTCCCCACTCTGTCTCTGGTGAATCCTCTTATCCGCCACGACTCTGGCCTATACCCCAGATCTTGTATGCATAAATAAATAAATCTTAAAAAAAAAATACTGAATTGTTACATCTACTGTAGCTTCTATGAACACACACATAAAGTCACTTGGTAAGAGTTAATAAAATTTTCAAATCCCAACTCAGCATATAGCATAAAATTGTAATACCAGGTTAAAAACTTATTTATAAGCAAAGGCAAAAAGTATGTGGCAGTATCCAGCACTTCCCCTAACACCACAAATAAGTTAAAGCAACACTTGGAAGTTATGCTTGAATTAAGGAGTAATATGAATTGGTTTGAGATCACCTTAGAATTGGAGCTATTGTTAGCAAATTCCTAAAGTAAAAAATCAAAAACTGGTCTAGGTTCTAGACTTATTAACTGTCAACATAAATGAGAAACAACCAATTCTATCCATCCTACCTTCCAACAACTCCAGCAGTTCCCGGTAGAGGCAGAACTAGATGAAACAGCACTGCCATTGAGAAATCTGCCATCTTACTGCAGTTTCCTTCTACACAGCTTACCCTTTCTCTGTTAGTTTTTTTTTTTTTTTTTTAAATATTAAATTTTATTTTTATATTCCCCCATACAATTGCAAACGCCCCATTCTGACCCCAATCCTTCCCCTCCCGCCCCCCCTTTCTCTGTTAGTTTTTAAGAACTCCTCTTTATCTCTGGTTTTCTCCAATGACAGTAAGATGTTTCCTATTGGGACACTTGTGTTTCTTTAATATTTCTATCTTTTAATCATTCTTGACTTTCTCTTTTAATATGATTCTTGCCTCATTTTCTCTCTCCTTCCTTCCAGAACTCCTATTTAGACAGGGAGTATAGTAGGACAGGGACAGGACAGGAATGAAGGACAAAATCTGTGTGCTGCTATAAATTTCCTTGGCTCATTGATTTTTACCATTTCAGAGCTATCTTACCACAATTTATAAAGTCATATATGTGTTAAATATAACCATTTTTTATCTAATATGCCTCTTAATTCCATAATTGCAATTAATTATCTCTCTATGCTACATCTTGGATAAAAACTCACATAGCTCATACTCAATAACCAATTACCTTCTTCAATTATATCTTATTTACATAGATAAATGAGTTTTTAATTCTCATAACCAGCTTTCATATCTAGAACTTTTGTTTGCTTTTTTCTCCCTAGTAACTTGTTCTAAGAATTTATTCATTTTTTGAGTCGATCAATAGGACATTAATATTATCTTTTAGGTTTGTTATTCTAAACTCAGAGTTCTAATCATCGTCTGTTCTCTGATTTTCCAGCATGATGTTCTATTTTGTCATGTGTTTTCCTATTGTTATTATGAGAATCCTTTTAGTGGGCCTCATTTTTTCTTTAAGATTCCCATGATGTGTGGCTGTGGGAATTTTCTCAACGCTCTCTGTATTTACATGTCCCAAGTGCTTCAAGGGTAAAAGTTTTCAGGAGTGATTTCTATGTTAATTTCTTTGTTTGGGAATTAGAAAACCTTGTAAGTGGGTTAAATTTGTACTCCAAGTTTGCTGTTCAACAGAGACCTTGAGGTTTCAACTTAAACAACAAACAAAACACAAAGCTCAAGTAATTTCAGTCTTGCTGCCTTGTCCCTGTACAATGAATGGATTTGTTGTTGCTGTTGTTTATACCCTTTACTGAAGGTGAAAGAGGGTTTCATTTGTAATTCTTACTTGTTTTGGCTTAATGTTTGTCTCCTGTCCTTAAAAAAGTACCAAAAAAAAAAACCCTTTGTTTCAAACCACCCTTAAAGCCAAGCTCTACCAAGCTCTCTGCTTTGCAATTCCTTGCACCTGGAATTGCCTTATGTTTCTTGTGAATTCAGCTATTAATATATTATTTTGTGTAACATTTTAAATTTTACCCAGCATTTCTAGATGCTTGTAACAAAATATTTTTTCAAGTTATTTCAGTCTACCACTTAGCTAAAACCAGAAATTAATGGTCAGTATCTTGTAGTTTTTACAAATAACATTTTGAATTTCAATTGAAGATCTTTGCCAACCTGAATAATTTAGCTATAATTAGCATTTAAT